CCAGGGGCCCCCCGCCATGTGTTGGGGCCCGGCCTGGGCGGGGGGGGGGGGGCCCACGGATCAATTTTCGCACCGGGGCCCCATGGGTCATGTGTACGCCACTGTTCTAATAGTGTACTCACTCTGATGTTCAGCTTGGAATCGAAGTCTTACAAAGTAGCTCTGTATTTATACCTGAATTGTTTGAATTCCTTATACTTTATCTGGTAAAGTAAGAGTTGTGAAAGGAGAAAAATGCACTAAACCATTTACCTCCGCTGTGCCAACAGTAAGCAGGATATCTTACCTGGAATTTCACAAGTTTAGAAAAAACAAAAAAGTTTTAAAATATATTTGCTTGCTATTGCGTCCTTTATTTGACTTGTTTACTCATCCTTTATATGATCCATGAATTTGTTTGGAAAATAATACATTGAAATTCCTAGATTTTACTATTAACATGACGTAAAGTCATGATTTTATTAATGACACGGAGGCGAGTTTTATGCTTCTCTTTCTTTAATTTTCCCTCAGAGGAATGAGTGTAATTTTCCCTCAGAGGAATGAGTGTAAAAGATAAAAAATAGCATATAATTAACATATATACATATTCAACAGTGCTACATAATGGAAACCACCCCCTTTCAGTATATAAGGTATAGCACTCTCTTCCTCTTCCTCTTTCTGTAGCGATCCGAAGACCAGTCAAAATCGAACAAGAACTCTGAACCGGAACTGTAACATCGGAAAGTCGTACATCCCTTCCTAGGGTAAACGGTGGAGCTGACCTTTAAGCCCCCTTCGATCACTCTGACGTGGGGAATCAGGCTAAAAAGAGAGGAGAAATATGGTAAAATCTCGATTGATAACTGGTTGTAACATATCCCAGCATATCTATTGTCCTCTACGTCTGAGAGAAATTCAACGTCATAACATCCTGACATAAAATCTCGACTGATAACTGTTAGTAACATATCCCAGTAAACTATAGTCGTCTACATCTGAAAAGAAATACAATGTCATAATGACCTACCAATTAGCGTATAACCTAGACTAGGCATACAGTTTGGAAAAAGTGTGGCAGGGGAGACCCGCCCTGATAGTATGAGGATAGGTGTCGACTCGATCTAATCCTGTATGGCTGAGAAAAATCCCACCAATTCCAACCCAGGGAGGGAGGGAGGGAATAATACTCGCCTCCGTGTTGGGGTAGATACAGGCAGATGAGGTTTCTTCAGGGAGATGAACAGGGATCCGTCATTAGACGGCCGTAGAGTAGAGGTGCGAGACTCTTTCAGGCATGATATTGGGCATAGGTTGGGTAAACTCGTGATTCTCGGATAGAAAACATGTTTAGTTGCTGATTTTGTTCTCCGTGAGATATCGAATGACACTCCCTCTGGAGTGAACGTGCGAGCCCGCCAGTCCAAGGCTCTTACGTCTGACACCCGTTTACAGGATAATAGGCAGAACAGCATAAATAGTTTTGCCGATAAATGTTTAAAGGACAACTCTATGTTAGAGGGCCAGCCATCTAGGAGTCTGAACACGCAGTTGACGTCCCAGAAGGATCCGTATCTGGATGTAGGGGGACGTGAGAAGCAGACGCCCTTAAGCAAGGGACAGACTAGGGGGTTCTGTCCGAATGGGAGCCCATCCACCTGGTCATGTCCAGCTGAGATAGCG